ACGCCTTGGGCGCCCATCTTGGGCGTTCGAACATTTTTTTGCGAAAAAAAAAGCTCTACAAATCGATTTGAAGGGCTTTTTAACATGAAATTGGTTTCGTAATCGACCTACCCAATGCATATTACACATAAAAGAGTTGAAATTACATCAAAAAATCGAAGCCCAACCCTTCTTCAAGCTTGATTTCGAATTTTCGAATTTTTGAATTTTTTTTTCTTTTTTTTTTTTTGCTATTTGCAGTTTTGGGGGGTTTTTGGATATTTTTAAAAGTTTTGGGGGGTTTTGTTATGAACCGCGAATAGCAATTTTGTGACCGCAAATAGCATTTCATATTTTTTAACAATCTTTGTGGAAATAGCGGAAGCTCTGGCAAGTCAATTAACAAGGGAAAATTACGAAAAGGGGATGATTTATCCACCGTTATCGAACATAAGAAAGATCTCAGCTCATATTGCTGCAAACGTAGCTGCCAAAGCTTATGACCTTGGTTTGTAATTTATCTCTTCCTAATTATTTATATTCTCACATAATCGGTTAATTATATTCATTTAAGAGGTTCATTAATACTTTTGTCTGATAACTTTTTTTTTCTTCCAGGTGTGGCAACACAACTGCCCAGGCCTGCTGACCTGTTCAAGTACGCCGAAAGTTGCATGTACAGTCCTAATTACAGAAGTTACCGTTGAACCTCTTTTTTCGATTTCGAGCAACAGTAAATAAATCAGCGTTTGCACTTAAAAACGGACAAGTAACAATCGGTGTGTGCTTTTCTGAATGAATCGTTTCCTATATATCTATATATCATGTTCGGGATAATATATCATGTACTGTATAAAACGAATTCGACTGTTGTAAAATGCACGGTGGTAAATAAATAAACAACTTCTGCATTTGTTTTTTTTTTTTTTTTTTTTTTTTTTTATAACAGCAGAACTCGTTGCCACCCGAAGTGGGCAGGGCGAATTTCGCCTTTCACGTAGTGTGTTATGAATGTTATTTTATTTATCAATGAAACCTGTAGTAAATTTTACACGGTCTGTACAATGTAAGATCGGATAAACTCCTTTTACGAGTACATGAAGACATATATCGATTGTGTAAAGAGATAAGAAAGATTCGATCACCGTAAAATTTGAGTTGTCTTTGTTCGGATAATGTTGTTCAATCATTTATAAGAGTTGAGGTCGGCATGAGTGTCTTTATACCTCTGAAGCAAGTAGTCTTGGGATTTTATTGGACTGAACCTGCAAATTACATCGCAAGTAAGAAACTCGTACGAAATCTTTAAGAAATTTACGAGAGAGAGTGAATATTATTGTACTGACTTTGGAGGATTCGTCTCCGATTGGCAAGTGGGTAGGCATTCGACAATGCAGTCGTGATTAGGCTCGACAAAGTACGCTATCTGCCCATCAAAATAATAATAATAATAATAATCAAATCAACCTCTCTTTCTCGTCTTTTTTTTTTCCAAAAAAAAGGCCGACAATACAGAACTCCAGAAAAAAGTCTTACAGAGTATCTTTCTTGACCGTTCCCCAGTACTCGATGCAGCGTAGATCTGTACCCACAAGGAAAAAAAAAATATTGGTTAGAATTTAGAACAGATTAAATCAGTCAAAAATGGGTTAAATTGATTTGAAAAAAGATGGTTGAAATCAATCGAAAATAGATAAAGATTGATTTATTGTTCGATAGTCTCATCCTGCATTATCCATTTTTTATTTTTTATTTTTAATAATATACTCGTAAGAGTACCTGAAAACGCAAGTTGCTCCAACGCTCCAGCATATCACCAAGATTAACTACGAACGCCCTGAAAAGACAAATCACTATTCACCACTTACAACTCGATAAAAACGGAATTATTGCAATTATAATATACTCGACTCTTAGCAACGTAAGAAGCTGCATTCGATTCATTTAAGTTATATATAAAGAAGGCTCACCCTTTAAGTGGTGGTACATATTCCCATATCTGAGGATTAGCATCTTTATCTCTACATATCTGAAGACCATAGTTATCATCCGTGGCTAAAAGCGTAATTAAACCAAAATCCGAATGTGCACCAGCTCCATATATTCCTTTATCTGGCTCAGAAGCTCGATCTACGTAGTATTCAATCACCATTAAAATTAAATAAATACCAAATTAATAAGTTCGTTAAATCTTGATAATCCCTTACCTTGATAGTGTAGCAGCCTTAATGTTGCAATAGGCTTTCCGAGCATTTCAGGTTGATCGAAAAAATCTGAATTTAGGTCAAGTGCAAGTGCTATCAATCGCGAAACCGCTCTTGCTACCTCTCTGAAATAATTCCAAAAAAATAAAAAATATTACTATTGTTTCATAAATGAAAATATTAGTTATGTTCGTAAATAATGGACAGAGAGATAAATACTTACAGTGCCTCGTGATGATATTTCTCCATCGTTTCCCTCCATTTAGGCAGGATATCTTTTACGAAAACAAAGAATTCGATAAGTTAAAAAATGCTTGCAATAATCAAATTTGCGTAAACCTAAATTTGGTCGAAATTTAAACAATAATTAGTTCGTTGTAAAAGTTACCTACAGATGGCCATAAATTCGGACCATAGAACGGTTTCTCGGCATCGGAATCATCTTCGGGTAATTCAATACCAATGTAGTAACCCTCCTTATAGTCCCCTGAAAAATACGTCGAATGCAAACTCATCTTTAAATTCGTTATAAAAAAAATTACGAACACATTTTTCGGTGCATTGTGTGATCGAGATAAAACGGTAAAATCGCCAACCATTAATTTGATTGACAGAATCCAAAGATTCGTCGAAAAGAGGAGTAAAGCCTCGATTTTTCTCGTTCCTTAGAAGCTTCATTTTCTCCTCAACGGGCAAATCGAAGAAGCGTTTGCTTTGATCGAAAACCTCGTCCATGAATTCCTCGCCGATTCCGTGATTGATTACATAGAAGAATCCAGAATCCAAGCAAGCCTGTATATATATTGTTCATTGGGTTTGATGAAATTTGTTACTAATCCAATATGAACTTGCTAATAACAATATGCCCTAATTGCAAATCCCACTCATCAAATCAACGATATAAATACAATAAATTTGCGCACAGATAAACAAAGCAAGCTGCGTAATTAAATTAGAGGGGGAAAAGAATGCCTTGTGAATAATGGAAACAGAGGATTGAGTATTAGGGTTCGAAAGATCGATGCAGTTCAGTTCGGAGATTCTAGAAGCTTCTGGAACTTGCCGTTGACTATTTTCTTTGCTTGAAGTCGCCATCCTTATTCCTTCCGCCGTTTTGTGTGTATCGATCTGTATCTATTTTTGGTTGTTTCAGTTTATCTGTCACTGGAATTTGGAAACGGTAGCAATAGGTCCGGGTTAGATCCGACCCGGATTCATTTGGACCGGGGCGAGTTAGATCCGATCCGAATTCGTTTAACTGGGCCCTATAAATTACTGGACCGGTTATCCGCCAACCCGCTATAGTTAAAGTTTGGGGAAACTACAATTTTTACCCTCAAGTTTGCACTGATTTCATATTTGGTCCTTCATATTCATAAAAAAACATATTTGGTCCTTCATGTTCTAATAATTTAACATTTTTTGTCATTTCCGTCAATTTACACTTAGTCTGTTAGTTAAAACAGTGATGGTCACACGCTTGATTCCGTTATTTTTAACGAAAAACTGACGAAAATGATTAAAAGTGTTGATTTTTTAAAATATAAGGGATCAAATGTGTTTCTTATGAACATGGGGGACCAAAATATGAAATCAGTGCAAACTTGGGGATGAAAACTGCATTTTTCCGGTTAAAGTTTTCGACACCTTTGGGAATTTTTTTTTTTTGGAAGTGAACTATCAATGTCAGTAGGGGTGGGCATTCGGGTCGGGTCGGGTTATTCGGGTTATTCGGGTTTTTTGCAAAAAAAAAATTACCCGAACCCGACCCGAGATAACCGGGTACCCGGTTATTTCGGGTCGGGTTCGGGTTTTGCTATTTTCCTCTTTTTTTTTTTTTTTTTTTTTTTTTTTTACCCAAAATAAAAGTACTAATTTATTTAAGATATACATATATCTACAGACATATATATATATATATATATATATATATATATATATATATATATATATATATATTGGACTGAATATCCACACATATATATATATATACATATATAATAGATAGACATATATATATATATATATATATATATATATATATATATATATATATATATATATATATATATATATATATATATATATATATATATATATATATATATATATATATATATATATATATATATATATATATATATATATATATATATATATATATTTATATATATATATATATATATATATATATATATATTTATATTTATATATATATATATATTTATATATTTATATATATTATTTATTTTTATTTTTTTTTATATATTTTTTTATTTTTATTTATTTTTATATATTTATATATATATATATATATATATATATATATATATATATATATATATATATATATATATATATATATATATATATATATATATATATATATATATATATATATATATATATATATATATATATATATATATATATATATATATATATATATATATATATATATATATATATATATATATATATATATATATTATATAAAATATTAAAGGAATGGTAAATAACTTAAAGTTGCAAATAGCAAAATATATGTTTTATTAGGAGATTTTGATTTTTTGAAATATTCTAAAATACCCACATATTAAAATTTTTTGAAAACAATTAAAATATTATATGTATTAGAAAAAAAAAAAAACAAAATAGAGGGGAAGGGTCTCAACAAAGACTCAAACTCTGCACCTCTCTGCATTTGAAGGGAGAACTCTACCATTAGAGCTACAACATCTCATCAACAAGTTATTCATTTACATTTATATAATA